AGAGGAATGGACCAAACTGAAATCACTGATTGGAACAAAACCACATTTGGCTTCATCTGGAAAATACTGAAAACTCAGCGGAACATGATATTGTGCGTTTTTTAAGGCTCTGTCTGTAACAGCCAGTTGTTGGATATTTGATTTTCTCTCCTCGATTTCTCTTGAAATAAACGTCCAAAAGTGATCAAACCTGCTTTTTTACCAAAAACAAATTGCAACCAAATTTATTTTAAAAACATTCTTTTCACTGAACATAATGTTTCACAGATCACAGTTTAAGGGACTGTCTAAGCCAGGGGTCGGCAACCCAAATGTTAAGAAGAGCTATTTTGTCATTTCAACAAAAAATCAAACCCCCTTGGAGCCACAACATTTTATGTCCATTTTACCCTCTCGGCTGTAAACATGTCTCAGTATGTGCTAATGTACCAGTAAAGACTAAAAAATATAATACAAACGAAAACGCAGACTTGCTTTGCTCTGCTTTAAGCTTTAGCTCAGCTATAGCTACTTTTCTCACATCATCTTGTTCAAATTTTTTCGTTCCACCTTAAATGGTGCCTGATTCGCCAGAATGTAACTGCTGCCCCATTTAAGGTGGCGCAGGAAAATTCAAACAAGAAGCTGGCGAACAAAGTCTTTAGCCTTCCACTTTATTTATTTATTTTTTTTATTTCAACAGTCCCTTAATAACTAAAGCATTTGTTTACTGTCTTTAAGGAGTGAGAAAATGTGGGTTTGATCATTATTGGATGTTTGTTTCATTAGAAATCGAGCGAATATCCAGTGAATGTCCAGTACAAAACCAACTTTACGTAACCCTGTTTAGTGGAAGGAATTAAGGATATGAAGGCACATTTTATATCATATTCAAATTTTTTTTTTGCTTTGTTTTTATTTTGAAAAACTTGAATAAAAGTATTAAAACACTGCGTTATAGTGAATAACATCACTGTGATGGTCTGCTGTTCTCACATTCAGCTCGAATCTGCACACTCTCATGTTGCTTAAATATACTGTGCTCAACACTATCCCACCTTGACTGTGACCATTGTCATTACTGATGTTACATGATTTAACTTAGTTTGCTTTCTGGTTTTCAATGCATTCTTAAAAATTACAGTTCTGTAAGGGTTCTTTAGTACAGTGGCCAAGAAGACCCAACTAAACCAGGCGGGCTGGGCTGCTGTGCTTTTATAGCTAACGTTAGCTACCAGAAAATGTGGAAAGTAACAGAATCAAACGGCACTTTTGCAACTTCGAGGTCTTACGAGGCTGAAGATTTTTCTCCACTACCATTCCCATCTCCGACGAGGGAAAGTGTTTCTGATCAGGCAGGGAGTCCTAAGCCTCACCAGTATGAGCCACTGACTCAAGCCGAAGACTTAACGTAGTGCCTGAAAATGATTAATAGCGAGTGGGAGAGGCGTCCGAACGGTAGAACATTCCCTAAAACCATGACAGCTAGCTTCTAATTATCTGTTCAGCAGGTCCATATTTGGTATAACCCGAGCCCGGACTTCTAAGTTGTACTGAATTCCGAATAAATAAAGTGGCTGTCAGCCAGGGTTTGCTGCAATAATCCTTACGTTCTGCAGTCTGTTCATGGCACTTTACTGGAAGCTAGCTGGAGTCTTGCAAGAATCCTCACTTAATCGGTCCTTCAGGTTGCCTAATCCTACTTTGAATGTTATCAATAAATGTGCTGATCATTTCTAACTTTGTGAGGTGGTGCTGTGTGTATTTAGCTCAGCGTGTGAGCATGGTTATCTCATCGCTCTAGGCTCCTGTGCTTTCATATTTATGAGTGCGGCACGAGTTGGGCGTCATCAGGGGTCGGTAACGTTGGTCAACTGATACGCATACTGTGACATGAAGACACGTCATCCGAGCCTATAGCACAGTGGAACCAGAGGGGCGCTGCAGATGTGAAACTGACCACGATAAAAAATTTTATTTTTACAGTTTGGAAAGATCACATTTTAAGCAAGGCTGGTATATTTTATTATTACAGAGCAATGCATTTCAGCTGTTAATGGAAAAAACGTTCTTAGGGTGTAGCTACTCTTTAAAATATTCACCCTGTCTTCCAGACATTATATAGAAAGCTGCACAGAGCCAAAGAACACAGTTAACCTTTATCATCTTATTTCACTTTAGTGTAATAGTTTCTCCGTAAGCTGCCTGCCAGCAGAAGCTGGAGTAGAACTGGTGCACTGACCTGCTATTTGTGCCGTGCACTGTGCCAGCTGTGTGGGTGGGGTTGTGGCTCCATGTGTTTTGGCACTGCCAGCGCGGTGTCTGTGAAAGCGTGTCTGGTTTGGCCGCTCTGTCTTTAGCACCATGTAGTGCCTAATTTTAACCCGGCGTATCTGACCAAAGTCAATATGGCGTCATGATGCTGTAATTTTCCTCCTACAAGCTGGCCAAGGCTTCTCTTCCTGCGAGGATAATTGTGTGTATTCAGGGAGAGAGAGGCTTTCTCTGCTTATTTTTGTTGAACAGTACAAGATAATTAAACTGCAGGTCCACGGACGAACATGTATTCTTAAACTTAAGCAAATTTTAAACCGCCCGAGCTAAGCACACTCGGTCACGCTGGTGTTGGTTGTTGGCACTAAAGTGTTTGAGTTGTTCTCACAAATGTGGCAAACACTGAGAACACACACTTAAAAACATAATGCCTAAAACTCAACGTTTAAATACACAAACAGCGATGCCTGCTTCAGTTAGGAGTGAGTGATATAGCCAAAAACTTATATCATGGTATAATTAAAATTTCTGGCAGTTAAGGAGTATATCACAGTATACATATGAACCACACACTTAAGATGCTTCTTCAAGGGTTCTTTAGTAAAGAAGATGGTTTCTATGTAGAACCATGTTCTTTAAGGGTTCTTTAGTAAAGAAAATGATTCTTTATAGACCCATAAACCCTTTGCATGATTAAAGGTTCTTCAGATTGATGGAGTGTGTTGTATATGGTTCTATATAGCACCAAAAAAGGGTTCTTCCGTTGTAACAAGCTTGACATCGTAGTAATGGAAGAACCCTTTTTGGTGCTATATAGAACCCTATAAAAAGGTGCTATATAGAAGCATCTACAGCACATTCTCCATCACGGAAGAAACTTGTATGATACAAAGAACCCTGTAATCATGCAAATGGCTGTATACAATCATTTTCCTTAATAAAGAACCCTTAACAAACCGTCTTTTTTTAAAAGTGCCTTTTAGATGCTTAAGTAAATCGTAATGTTGATAGGTTAACTGTGCCTTATTATTCTGGGATGTCCCTTCACTTTTAATAAGAAACATTTTTAACAATCAAAGTAAATCTGAAATATTTTTATTGTGAAAAATGATAAGAACAAATCTGATCAAAATGGAGATAAACCTGTCAATGTTGCTGTCCAACACCAGCAAAAAGGGTTTCACGTTGGCAGCTCTTTGTTTAAGTTTCCCGTTCCACCTTAAATCGAGCAACTGTTACATTCTGGCAGATTGAATTGATTTGAAATTGATTTTAGTGACATTTTCCGATGTATTTGACTAAATTCTCATTACTGCAACTCTGTGCACAGATTGCAAATCTATGTTTTTCTCCAGTTTTTTATAATCTGTGTTTTCAAACTATTTTAAAGCTCATTGTAAAATATATCTATTTAATAAAATATATTTTGTGATTTTATCTCATTACCACAACATGAGGTCTTGTTGTCTTGTTGTTTTGGTTCACATCCGTACAGTGTACAAGAAAAATGTTAGAGTTTCAACATAAATAAGTGGTACAAATTTTTTCTAAAGAAAAAAGCAAAAAAAGAAAAATATGAGAAACAATTCAGTAATGAGAGTTAGGGTAATTCTAAACATTTTTGCTGTTCCATATAAAGATCCAGCTGACCTACTATATTATATAAATATTGTTCATCTGGGTGATAATTATGATCCTCAAATATTTATAGACGTGTTGGAGGTGGTTTTGTGAGGCTGACACAGAAATACGTCTGTTGTGGCTGAGGGTAGACAAAAGCTTCATAGCAGTCACTCAGGTTTGTAGTGCATCACTGCGCTGTTGATCCTGTGCCCTGGACCACTGGTTTAAAACTGGTTTGGTACAGTAAACAAAGAGGAGAGCAGTGCAGAGCAGAAACTGTTTTTTGCTAAATAATATTTTAAAAAAATTTGCAAAATTAAGCAACATACACATCTCTGAGCAGTTCAGCTGAAAGTGGTGCGAGTTCCCATAGGTGAGGTTAAAGGGAAATTCCAATTTTTAAAATGTCTTTGAATTTTTCTTTATCACTGTTATGGTCTGGATTTTTTCAGGACTTTCTTATTCTGGAGTATATATATATATATAAACAATTGCAGAAAAATGTCTGTTTATTAAAAGGTTTGGATGTAAAAAAATGTAAACAGAGCCATGCAGAGTATTTTGGTGTGAAATGCTCCATCCTAGAGTCAGAAATGTTCGCAGTGGTGGTGATAGGATCCAGATGTCCACCTCTAAAAGCTCACAGAAAATTTTACATGAAATGACTATGAAGACACTGCCTGATGTCTGAGACATTGTTTTATGATTGTTTTGAGAAGATTTTGACCTGAAAAACTATTCGAGAGATACATGCACAGTGTTGTGACAAAATAGTCCCCAAAGAAAACCTATTTCAGATTTATTACTGTTTTCCCATCATCAACATTCCATATAAAACTCAGAATACATGTGTAGGTTCACTGGTGGTTTTGCATAGTAAATAAAATGGCCACATGTGTGTTGTAGTCTTTGCGACCCCTGGTTCCTATCACCAACGCTGTAAAGAATTCTGAACCATTTCACACCAAACCACTCTGAATCACTCTGATTACATCTCAGACATTCAGTTATGCAGAGGTTTAGAAAAATTGGTTAAAGTGCTCTATTTTCAGAATACACTGCACATTTGACTCTGTATGTATTGGAATGAATGTGGTTACCAGAATTTTTTTCTTTGTGTGCAGGGTCCTGCAACATGCGTGGCATTTTCAAGGACGGGGGATTACTTTGCTTCTGGCGGGTCTGATGAACAGGTGATTTGTACTGTATTGTCGTATTGTGCTGTATTATCAGTCAAAGGTATTACATTTTATCTGTTGGTTGAGCTGGGAGATATATGTTGTGATACTACTTTTCAGTGTCAGCAGTATTTTCAGTGACGTACACTATATGGCCAAAAAAATGTGAAAACCATGTTTAATTATTGAATTCAGATGTTTCAGCCGCACGATTGCTAACAGGTGTATAAAATCAAACATCTAGCCTTGCAGTCTCTATAGACAGACACTGGCAGTCGAATGGGTCGTACTGAACAGCTCAGTGACTTGAAACGTGGCACTGTTATAGGATACCATCTTTGCAGGTCAATTTGTGCCATGCTAAAACTCCCCCAGCCAACTGTAAGTGCTATCATTGTGAAATGGAAGCATCTGGGAGTGACAACAATTTAGCCACGAAGGCCACGCAAAATCACAGAGCGGGGCTGCTGAGTGCTGCAGTGCATAGCGCATAAAAATCACCCATCGTCTCTTGCATCACTCGTTACAAAGTTCCCAACTGACTCTGGAAGCAAGAACTTTCAGCACAAGAACTTTCCATCAGGAACCTCATGAAATGGGTTTCCATGGCTGAGCAGCTACACACAAGCCTAAGATCACTATGTGCAATGCACATAGTGTCAGCTGGAGTGGTGTAAAGCACGCTGCCACTGGACTCTGGAGCAGTAGAAACATGTTCTCTGAAGTGATGAATCTGATCTGTCAGTCTGATAGATGAGTCTGGGTTTGGTGGATGCCAGGAGAGCACTGCCTACCTGGAATGCATAGTGCCAACAGTAAAGTTTGGTGGAGGAGGGATAATGGGCTGGGGTGGTTTTTTCAGGGCCCCTTAGTTCCAGTAAACGATGATGTTAATGCTACAGCACACAAAGATATTTTACACAATTATATGCTTCCAGCTTTGTGTCAGCAGTTTAAGGAAGACCCTCTCCTGTTCCAGCGTGACTGAGCTGCTGTGCACAAAGCGAGCTCCATAAAGACATGATTTGATGAGTTTAGTGTGGAGGAACTCCAGTGTCCTGCACAGAGCCCTGACCTAACCCCACTGAACACCTTTGGGATGAGCTGGATCATCGAATGTGAGCCAGGCCTTCTCATCCAACATCAGTGTCTGACCTCGGAAACGCTCTTTTGACTGACTTGGCAAAGATTCCGACAGACACACTCCAAAATCTTGTGGAAAGCTTCCCAGAAGAGTGGAGGCTGTTTTAGCTGCAAAGATCATGATACCTGTATTCCATGGTTTTGTCATGGTCGTTTTCCAGGTGTCACTGTATTTTCAGCCATATGGAGTATCATGATATGTAATTTGGTCAGTATTGCCACACAGTACTGCGGTTTCTCATAATGCTGCCTGCCTACAGTGTAAAACTTGTAAATGACTGTTTACTGTTATGTGTGATGTCTCCATGTCAAGCATAATATCAATGTGTACAGGTGATGGTGTGGCGAACTAACTTTGACAGTGCAGATTACGGTGAAGTGCTCAGGTCGCAGCGGAAAGCCGCCAGCATGGAGCCACGCGGTTCCACCTCTCACGTCCCAGCTCAGGTAAAACATACAGACCTCATCCTCTTCATTTTGAACGTCCAGTATACTTTTTTTCCCCCAGATATTCCACCTTTGTAGAAGCTGATACGTCACCAGACTCACTTCCGAGTGTCCGATATTGACATACACTGTTAGGAATGAAGGTTTTGTGCAGGTACATTTTTCGTTTATCAAGGTACAAACAATGTTAATGTTCCCTCAAAGGTACAACAGTGGTTTTAAGGCCCAATTGTAAACCTTACATACGTTTTTCTAGGTAAAAAGTTCGTATTTGTACCTTTTCATAACCTAATGTTTTAAACCAGAACAATAAAATAAAAAGCCTGGAGATGAGACAGGGTGTATGGAGTCAATACAACTTCAGTGGATTATGGTACAGTTATGTTCTCTGACTAAAGGTACTGAGATGTACACTTGAGGGTCCCACCTCAATTAGTGTGTAAAATACGATGTTCGATAAAGCTGTTGGATATCACAATGATGATACGAGAAGTGAGGAATTATTATTAAAATACTATGCCTCTGATTGGGTGTGTAAGCAGAATTCTAACTAACCTCTCCTTTAAGCTGGGGGTAGCAACCCAGATGTTAAGAAGAGCCATTTTGTCCTTTCAACAAGAATCAAACCACCTTGGGAGCCACAACATTTTGTGTCCCTTTTATTGAAGTAATGTTTTACCATCTTGTAATAGTATAGGCTAAAAAATGCAATATAAATAAAAACGCAGACTCGCTTTGCTCTGATTTAAGCTTTAGCTCAGCTATAGCCACTTTTCTCGCATCTCTGGCAGGAAACTTTTCCACAAAAGTAGAACAGTTTCTTGTGAAATGTCTCAACATTTGATTTTTTTATGAGACTGAAGTCAACTTCACATTCACCTGCTTCTTGTTCACATTTTCTCGATCCACCTTAAATGATGCCTAAGGCACCAGAATGTAACTGCTGCACCATTTAAGATGGAATGGGAAAATTCGAACAAGAAGCTGGCGAATGAGAAACTGACTTCAGTTTCACAACTTTTTAGTGTTTGACAGTTTCTTGTTGAGGATTAAACGTATCAGGAAACCAGCTGCAGGGATTATAAATGCAAATCAGTCCATTCGTCTCCAAATTATCGATGTTTGTCTTAAATCCTTGTCTTTGCCTTTTCGTTAGCTACTAGCTAGCTGTGTTGCTATGTTGACCAGCAGTCTGCGTGCCAATCTTCAGAGTTAAAGGGTGAATTAGCAGTTATTATTAACTTCAGCATTTAAGACCATTTGTTGTTAAGACTGTGTTAGAACAATCAGCAGAGCTTTACATACTAACAGCTGCTTACATCAGGACTGGCAACACATGTTTTGTGCACCGAAAGGCTGAGGAACAGTTTGCAGCATTTCCTCTGCACCATTCTATAAAAGCTACAAAAACACTTAAATATTTAAACTGGAATGTTACAGTAAAAAAGGTCAATGCAAGTGCAAGTATAAAAATATGATATTTCGGTTAAAATATTAGTGGAACAAAATAAACCGATTAATTGATTTTAAATAAATAAAATATTATCCAACAAAAATAAGAACATTATCCACTAAATTTAAGGTTTTTTCTGGGGTTTTGTGCTGAATTTAACAGCCAATAGCTTTGATATCACATGTCTGTATATTGTCAAGCGCTTGGTGGGTTATGCAATGTGCAGATTTCAAGTCATATGACACATTTGTCGGAGGTTTTTGACTCTTCAGTTTAATCATAAATAAACTGGGAGATTCGCCATGTTGCAGATGTGCGTAACTAAAACAGATTGCGCCAAAGTGAGAAACATATGGTCTGTAAATGAGCATCAACAAATTATTTGAGTGTTGCTGTGTGACACAGACAAAGCTTTCTGTTACTGTGATTTCATGTTACAGTCTGTGCAGCTATAATATGTCAAGATTAAATCATCCTCAGATGCTTAAAAGACTCTTAAGACTTAAGATTTTAAACTTTACTCCTCAGCACTCATTTAAGTTTTTTTTCATATAAAAAAATGTAATTAAAAAAAGATCACAATAGGTTAGTTTTTCCACCAGACGTCACAGTAGGTTACACTTAACACAGTAGGTTACACTGCTCAATTTACCTGGAAGACCAGGTGTACCAAACCAGGATGCATTGGTGTGGCAGCTGTTGAACGCGTCTCACTGGCTGATCTAACGCTGTGTCCCAACCCACACACTTCTAGACTTCACCTACTACACTAATGAGTGCACTTCTAATGGGATGTTCACTATGTTTACACACTATTTAGTGAGCTAGTATGGGGTTTGGGACGCGAAAATATAACACACTGGGAAATCTGTTTAGATTATAGCTTTCGTTTGTCATCACTACAACCACACGTTAACCACACTCAAATATATTGGTTAATGTGCTTTAAAATTTAAAAAGGTTTAAAAACATGTTTTACTCACAGCTGGTGTCAGAATGTTGGCATTGGTGCATTTTTATGAGTACAAGTACATGAGCGATACCAGTATCAGTATCGATGCAGCCCTAACATTGTACAATATCCACAATATGTGCAGTTTATGCTGCCACAAGTGCGAAGGAATGCTGACATGCAGTCCTGCAATCCAGCCTTGCTTGGACCTGAGCATGCTGGCCCTGATGCTTATTGTGCAGTGCTATCTGATAAGGCTGCGGTTTTCTTGCCTCATCACTCTGTCATAAAGACGGAAGCTGAAAGCAAATTCCTGCACAATAGAAGCGTGCCCCACACTTCCAGAATCAGAACAAAAGAGTCTGCGCTCCTCCTTTTCACAGAGGCCTATCAGAGCCTGTGTGGCACTGAGAAGGTGCATAGCTTGCGATGAATAAAGGAGGAAAGGCCTGAGTGTGTAGATCGTTATCTTGCATAGCTGGATGTGACGTTCCAAGCATTCCTGACCTTTTCCCTCCTTCCCATTCCTGGGACTACTACTTAGAGATCTGGCTTTTCTTCCATTTCTCATTTCCCATTTGGGACAGAAGGAAAAAATGCATAAAGTCATATAGCATTAACAGTGGCGTTAATACTCTGGCTGATATTTGCTTATTTTGTTTAAATTAATGAAGAACTCCAGTGCCAAATTTGATTAATCATCCTGTGAGGTTAAAAACAGATTTACAAAATCGATTAAAGGGTCTGAATGCTAACAGTAAATTTGAACAGCACAGTTTATGCTGCAGTTTTCCTCTGAGCTTACATGGCTGTTCAAAGGTCTTTTATAATATTAAAACATCTGGTTTCAGACACATGTAAAATTATCTCAGTGTGATGGTAAATAAAAATTAAGAAAGGTTAAGTGTGTCCAGAATGATGAACAGAGCTATAGAAGACTGTAAAATGACTGAGAAAGCTAAAGGTTGACTTGAGCTTTGTGGTTAGCTTTGGCTTGGAGGTTAGTGTTCTCTCAGTAAGGCCCAATCCCTTTTCTTATTTTTCCCCATACCCCTTTTTTTCGAGTGTCTCCTTGCCCCTTGGAACTGAGTTACAAGTGGTTGAATTCTGAATTCTTGAATACTTCATTAACAGGCTACTAGCATGTAATTGTAGGCAACTCTGTCAGTCTGCAGTGATAGCAGAGGAGGGTAAAGTTCAGCAACCTCACTGCTGAGCTTTAGTTACATTTAGGGCATCAAATGCCTTCAAGGATGTGGGGTCCCAATTCTTCAGTGTTATGAAGCTGAAGTCAGCTGTTGGCCAGCTTCTTGTTCAAAATTTCTCCTAAAATTTTGCAGTAGGTCTAATGCCTGATGCACCAGAATGTAACTGCTGCACCGTTTAAGGTGGAACAGGAAATTCAGCTAGCTAGCAACCGAGACATCAACATACTACTAGCGATGTTTTATGCCTGTTATGAAGAAAAGGACCATAAAATATTGAAATGGCATTAAACTACGATAACACAATGGTTATTGTCATTTTTAACAGAGACAATACTCATGTTTTTGGATTTCTTTGGTCGTTTGTGCAGCCATCTTGCCGATTTTTCTTTTTTTCCTGTAACACTGTTTGGAGTGTGTCTCAGAAAAACCTCCGTTTACCCCTCTAACTCAACAAGAATCGGGACACCTTACTCCTAGACGTGAGGGGTAGGGGAGAGGGGTGAAATGGGATTGGGCCTAAGTTTCTCTTACTCGAAACACAGTTTTGTTTTGTGGACAAGCTGTGTGGACAGGACAGCCACATCAGCCTTGCGTTTATGTCCGCATGACCAAGATTAAAACATTAAACTATTGAAATAGGAAATATTTGGCAAAATACATTGGCGATTTAGCGGTCGTTGAAAAGTTATTACAAGACAAGCTTTGTGTGTATATAAGCTGTAGAGCATCAGGAATGAAGTTAGAATAAACATAATATCCAGAATGCATTTAGATAGATAAAAAATACTTATATAAATAGTAATTCCAAACTTTTGAACAGTACTGTACATCATGCTGCACTGAGATTCAGAGCCGATTAAACAGCCAGTCTCTATGCTGTAAATTGCAGTAAGCTGTTAACGCTAGTTGGCTGATTACTCTTGTAGGATTGTGTCTGTTGTGTCTTGTTGCAGCATATGTTCCTCAGTCAGTGTGAACCACATCAACACCTTTGAAAACAACGTTTCACTTGCATTTCTTGGGAAATATGCAAACAAAGTAGGAGAAGGTCTCTTAGCGATAAGTCGGCTTATTATTTCACACATGACATGGATTCATCCCAATCAGGGTCCGTATTACAGAAACTCCCTATGTTTGAGTCTTAAGTTATGATCTGACAGGTCAAGGTAAGATTCATATTACAGAAGCAAATCTGATCTTAATTTAGGAATTTTATATTATCTTACAGCATCTCATCTCCAGTTAGGAAATCTTGACCTACTCGATTGAAGTCGACAGTCAACGGTCACCATACGCACACAGCTGAAATGTAAACACATCATCAAAATAATCAGCTTAGTAAACCAGACAGCTTCTGTTACTGATGTAAAATAGCTCAAACAAAACT